TGCAAATTCAATTTTCCCCTCCGTTCGTATCCATTTCCAGGACTGAGGAGGGGGGATGCTGATAACCCGGGGCTCATCGATTGTCATTGCCAGGAAAAAATCTCTCTGAATTCAATTAGTTTGGAAAAAGCGCTGGGGACAAGGGGCCGCCCTGGCACCCCATGGCCATCACCCACATGGCATCTTGTTCCTGTGCCCGTCCTCTGGGTGCCTGCAGGGAGCCCCTAGGGCTGGGAGCTGCCAGGGGCAGGATGGGGACGGGGCTTGTGCCAGATGCCCCTGGCCTCCTCCTTTCCCAGCACGTGGACATGGGGACACGGCTGGAAAGAGCAGAGTGACTCGGGGCGAGCTGCAGTGCCTGCATCCTGTCCTACCTGGCCACGTCTGTGTCCCATCTGGGTGCCGCGGGGCAGAGCACGGGGCCACCAGCGCTGCCCCCGGCCCTTTCCCCAAGGCTTCGCAGCGGTGGGATGACCCTGCCGGGATGAGCAGCCCATACGTCTCATTGCCTTGGAAACTGCGCGCGGCTCCGTGAAGCCTCCTCCTCCTCCTCCTGCCCACAGCCGCTATGGCGAGGAGTGGAGCGGAGCCGYGGCGAGGCTGGGTCAGGACAGAGATGCCCGGCACCCAGCACCGGGGCACCCTCGGGCTTGGCCACCACAGCCCGGCTCTGGGGGCGTAGATGGCCCCTCGCCTTGGAGCAGGGCGCCCTGCAGAGTGCCCCGCGGTGTCCATGGAGCACCGGCCTCCCCGCACGGCCTGTGCTCCAGGCAAGGGCCTGATCCTCGGCCAGGCCGCCCTGGCGTCGCAGCCCGACGCTCCCCAACTCCTGAGATTTGGTATTCTGCCTGCTCCCCTACGCACACCGGCAATTAGAGCATAATTGTAGTATTTGCATATTCATAACCGCTGAAATTAATCACATTTGCATAATGGTAATGAAAGGGACTTCATTAATTACTGCTTTTTTTTTTTTTTTTTTTTTTTTCCTGATGATTTTGCATAGAAACGGCTTCCATTGGGCAGGTTCAGCGGCTGGGGAGGGCGCAGCGTGACCGCCCACCCGTGGGGCTGGCACGTGTGAGGCCCGAGGTGGCGCCAGGGCTGCCCCGGCCCAGATCCCACCCCCACGGAGCTGGAAGTGGTTCCCCATGGAGCTGCCTGTGGGACACGTGGCCCCGGGGCTGGGTGGAAGTCAGCCAGGACACAAGGAAACACCTAAACGTGCGGGGCCGCAGGGCCGCGCTGCCCAAGGCCTCGTGGAGTGGCCGGAGCGGGGAGCTGCCATCGCAGAAGGCGCCTCTGCTGCCTACAAAAGCCGCAACCTCCTGGCTGCACAGGGAGGTGAAGGAAAGGTTGGGACATGAATACGAGGTGTAAGAGCTGTAAAGAAGTGAGGAAAAGTCAGTGTTTGGCAAACATGGCTGATGGAAGCATCAATGAATGCTCAGGGGCTGGTGGAGTTGTGGGGAGTAGGAAATAATTATTGGTGTCAATGAAAAGGGAGGGAAGACCAGGTCCAAGCAATGGCCCAATGTGGAGACCAGAAAAAGCAAGAGAAGTGAAATACGGAGGAAGGGACTCCACAAAAAAACGCGGGCACTGTTGTCCTGCCCTGCTTACACTGTATCTGGTGCTCCCCAGCTCTGGGAGGGTGCTGAGCGCCTGTCACTGCTGCAGCCTGGGGCCGGAAGCTGCTTCCCAGGGCACTTGTTGCCTCCTTATTGATGGCTCCTTCCCCCGCTGCAGCATCTCCAGAAGAGGCCTGCAGAATAAATCRCTGCAAGAGACAGATTATGGCAGCTGAAGACTCCAAATGAGATGATAATTGCTCTGGTAATGACAGCGAGGACCTGATGCTGCAGATAAGGAAATGACTCCGCTCTTCTTGCCTGGTGCCAGGCGGGCTGGTCCCGTGTACCTGGGCTGCCCTGGGGCACCGTGTTCCTTCTCCAAGGGTTGGAGTCTGCACTCTTGGCAGGGACCTCTGATGGTGATGTGGTGACTCGCAGGCTGTCACCCCACTCCAAAGGTCTAGGTGTCTCCTGACAGGGCCTGGCTCCCCGTGGCAGGGAGGAGGCCACGGGGAGGCCACRGGGAGGCCACGGGGAGGCCACRGGGAGACCGAGCCAGGCTGGATGCAGTGGCAGGGCTGTCCGCCGGGCACTGCTGCCGGCTGCGTGTCAGCTCCAATTAGGCAAACTTCTGTATTCATTGTGCGCCCAGCCAGCGGAGAATTCCACAATTGAATTTTAATGCCCTAAAAACACATTACAATCAGCCCGATTAATTAAGAGATGGCTTAACACGGCGACCAGGCTGTGCGGGGCCGGCCCTGGGGAGCAGCGCTGGGCCGGGGTGCCCCACGGCCGCGTCTCCTGCACCGCCTCCCTGCCCCGGGTCCCGGCATGTCCCCAGCATCCCGGAGCGGGATATCCCCACGTGGGCAGTGGTTCTGGGGACATAAGGGGGTGCTGAGCACCCCAGGGGATCCCAAGCCCTGTGGCGGGAGGAGGGAGGCACTGATGGGCTAATTGCAGGTGGCTAATTAAGTATTTGTGCGGAGCCGCAAATCCCTGGGCTGGCTGGGAAATGGCTCCCCACCTAGGTAGCCGTTACAAGGCTGATTGGCACCAAGATTATAGGGGTTCGGGGGAATTGCTGGGAGCTGACAAAGCAGTTGTGACAGAGCGCGGGAGCCGCCGCCACCGCCATGGGGCTCGATCCACCACACGGCCCGGCACCGGCCCACCCTGGCCCTCCCCACTGGCACTTGGTGGCGGGAACACGGCACGGAATGCATGGAAAYGGAGGGAAACCTATAAAGGAGCCACTGCACCTGGTAACGCGTAAATCAGGAGGAATTTGCTAAAGGAAGGCCCGTGCCAGGGAGGGAAAGGCAGAACCAGGAGGAATGTCGGAGGCATAATAAGGCCAGGAGAAATCCTGGCACCGCTATAAATCCTTTCCTCACAGGAATTGTTGGAACGCTAATGATCATCCAAAAAGAAAAAAAAAAAAAGAAAAAGCCAGACACATTTAACAAATATTTCTGCTCCGTATTTGGAAAGGAGCGGGATGAGATGTTTGAATCATACGAGATTGATGAAGCAGTCTATTAATTACTGAAGGGAACGTTAAACAACATCTGCCAGCTCAGCAGGCCCAGGCGATGTGGGCACCGGTGCCCGCAAAAGGCTGCAGCGGTGCTTGGCCTCCTCATTAATTTCCCATAAAATCCTGGAATATCAGGACGATCCCAGCGACACCAGGAAACACGAGGGGGCTGGACCGGGCCGTGTCACCGCTGTGGAGGTCACCCAACCCAAACTGGGCACACGCCGGGCAGCCGGTGCAGGGCACGGCGCTGGTACGGGGCTTTGCCACCGCGTCTCAGCTCCATGAGGATTTATAGCGTGTTCAGGCTCGGTTCAATACTCACTGATGAAGAATAGTCATAAAGCTGGCGAAGGTTGTGCATTTGTTTCCCATAATATGATATATAGATTTTCACCCAAGTTTTTTTTTTTTTTTTCCTTTCCAAGCTGTAACAAAGCAAGGCCAGAAAGCAGCAATGTGCTAATTAAAGCACCCTACAAACATCTTAATCAAGACTTTCCAGACAGGGCAACATGCTTACCCGCATTTCCCATGTAAGACCCAGCACTGGTACAGGGGGAGAGGGGACCAGAGGACAGGCAGGAGATGAGGAGGAGGAAAAGGAGGYCGAAGGGCTGGCAACTCAATGGGCAGCCCTGGCATCAGCACCAGGTTGCATTGCTCTGTAGCTGCCTCGGACCCTCTTTATGGTTCAGTTATTGGAGACCCCCATTTCCAAGCAAACACATTTTTTTCCTCCTCAAATGCAGCCTACGGACGAGGCTGGACAGGGCCGGGCTGTGAGGCCAGGGGGAAGCTGCTGCTCTTTTACCAACCTATTTCTTGCTCAACAAACTCCCACTTGCAACAAATGGAGCTGAAAAGGGTGATGGCGAAAGATGCACTAGGGTTGGTCACTGGCAAAGCACAGGAGATACTAACTAAAAAATAAAAAGGCAGTCCCCTCMGCTAAGAATATGTGCTGTAAATGGCAGCAGATTGGTAAAACAGGAGGAGAGGGAGGAATTGGGCAGCTCAGGGCCCSGGGGACAGCGTGGCAAGGACCAGAAGTGCTGCAATTCTGCTACAGATACAGAAAAGGATAAACAGAAACGATTGAGGAACTGTAAAACACGCATTCAAGGGAGACTCTTAACAGCTCGAGTGTGCAGTTTGTTGAAGGAGAGGTAGGGCAGCATCATAGGACAAATATACAAGACCAAAACAAAACGAACCCCCAGCCCTCCCAAGCGAGAGGGGTTTTTCTCCARGGGTGAGAGGATGAACCGCCCTCAGACGCTGGCTGGGAGCTGGAGCACCCCTCGTTAAAAACACAGCACTGTCAATTTAAATGAAAACGTGCTTCAGAGAGAGACAGAGAGATAAGCGGCTCCCGGCAGCGCAGCCAGGGGGAATTTATGGCGTAATGAAGTAGTCCAGCGAGGCACACAGCATGGGATTGATGCTCGGTCAGCAGCGGGCCGGTGGCCCCTCTGTCTCCGGGGTGGCTGTGGCCATCGCTAAGCGCTTGAGCCGAGCGCCGCTAATTGATTAATCGGAGGCGCTAATTGAGCCGAGGCGCCGCAGCGCGCACCCGCAGCGCGCCGCGCAGCTCCCGCCGCCGCCGCGTGGT